TTGTCTGCAATGCCCCGCAGAGCACGTGCTAAAAGGCGAAAGCTTGCGGCCTCCCCACCGTCCCTCTGTGCTAAAATCGTGACTGAAGACATGGCAGACGCCAGCGTATGTTTTTCGCCGTCTGCAGATCTGATTAACTCACAAATCCCTTTAGTACATGTAGAACCTCTCGACCCTTCAGACGTCCAAAAATACGCCTCTGCTAGTCGTAGCAGGCCATCAGCCGGCGAAATAATCGATCAGCTGATTTATGGAGACATAAACAGCACTTCTGAAAAAGTGCTTGTACAAGCTTTTAAACTTATTGGGGTAATAAGTTCGGAAACTGAGGAACGAATTAAACGCAAGCATAATTTCGTACTGCGAAACATACCGAGCCACTTATCTGCTATGGAGGGAGCGCATTTGTTCCTACAAAGTTGTGGCTTGAGTTTTAGTGTCGCACAAGCTAAGCGACTTCGCTTGCTTAGCCGTAATGCGCCGATACTAGTTACCCTTTTCTCCATGATAGAAGTCGATTTTATCTTGTCGAGTAGGGAGATAACTAGAGACTTCTGCCGTAAATGGCGCTGCTCCGTTTCGCCAGACCTCACACCCCTGCAGCGAAGACTGAATAAACTAAAATCGGCAAAAACGAACACCAAGATAATGACATCTACTGTCAGTCTGAATATGTCCTCTACAACACCACCCGCGGCATCTGCAAGTCACGGCATAGTCAATTCCGTAGGGAGTTCGACTACTCTTAATGCTGACCTTTTTAAACACACCACCACGCCTGGTATAAACACGCCTCTATCAACTCCCCCAGCAACCCCTAGTAAGCCTAAGCATGTGCCTAAGTCAAAGGCAAATCCAATTGCTGTCTCAGCCACTCGGGCACCCAATAAATCCAGCACCATTATAAAATCTTTTCCTCCACAATCGGCTAACAGTGCCTCAAATACCCCGACTCAAAACGTAGCGGGTTCGCAACTGCCCTCCAGCCCTCATATCAAGGCATTTAGGCCGAATATGCCGATTTTCTCACCGTTTAATAGACCTCTTGTTCCAATGGAGGCAATGCGTTTCCCACCCCCTAACTTGTTTCCTCCACGGCCGTTTTACCAATTTATTCCTCATGATATTGTCCATACTGAATCAGTTAATTCATCCGATCCTCAGTTTCGTTCCGGCGGGAATACGTTGCAGTATCTGCCCCGCGGATTTCCAGCCGAAAATAAGTTAGCTAACAATAGTTACCAGTTTACCTGCCCGCCATTCCCTCCCCCAAGTCCTACCCATTTTTATCCACGTCAGAATTTTTTGATGCCACAAAATTTTTTTGCAGAACCGGATCGTTGCATCCGGACCGTCTGCTCCGTGGGCGACCCAGAACTGGACGATGTAGCCCACCTCCCTCAAAAACTAACAGCCTTTCCCTTCAAACTTTTTGTTTTAAATGCCAGATCCTTGCTTAATAAGATGCCTTTGATTCAGACTCAGGTGTTCGTCCATTGTCCTGATATTGTTTTAGTAACTGAGACGTGGGCATCAGCCTCAGTAGCTGACTCCGAACTCTCTCTTCTAGGCTACAATTGCATTCGAAATGATCGCCAAGATAGCCGTGGTGGGGGCAGCTGCGTCTACGTTAAGCAAACACTTACATTTTTGCCGTTGGACCTCCCGCACTTATCCGCAGTAGAAGGCAGCTGCTGGCTCCAGGTTGCACTAAAAAATAAGTTCTCCTTACTCATTGGCTGCGTCTATCGCCCTCCCAACGCCAATGACAATTTTCATCGTTTGCTCTCACAGGCATTTCATGCTGCGGCCGACTTAAGCTTTAAGTATCAACTGGTTGCGGGTGACTTTAATCTCCCTGAAGTCCGCTGGTCTCCGCATTCAGGCCCCAGAAGGTTCGATGACTTTCTTGAGGCTGAGGATGTTGGGATGTGGAATCAGGTTGTCGATTTTCCCACCCGAGGCTCAAGTATACTTGACTTAATTTTCTGTAGAGGCTGCTTGCCATCGTCAGTGTCATCCCTAGGCCCACTCGGGGGCTCAGACCATGACATAGTTGTTTCAACGTTGGAATTCGGGGCTGACGAAATGTCGTCCCCAAAGTATAACTTTTTCCGTGATTTCCGATCAACTCGCTCAACCGAATTATTAACACACCTTAATTCCTACGACTGGACTGAGTTCTTCCTTAGTTCGGATGTAAATGTTTGCACTGCAAAACTTTACGAAATATTTGATCCGCTTATTTCTCGTTTTGTCCCCCGTAAGAAAATTATTAATGTTGGGGATGAGATTTTCCTACCTTTACCCTTTCGTCGCAGATTGCGCAGGCTTTATCGTCGTTTCCATCTTCAGAACGATGTTTCTGTCCTGCCCTTGATTTGTAATATTTTTGATCGAGCTAAGAGATTGTCTGAAGAAAAACAGCTAGCCGAAGAAGTCCACTTTACCGAAAACCATTCGTTAAATGTCTCGAAACTTTTCTCTAGAAAAATACGAACTCAGAGAAAGACGCAGTATCCCATCCTTCGAGACGATCTCGGAAATCCCATAGTTGATGCCCAGTTAACCGCGGATAGCTTCAATGATTTCCTGCCCAAAACGTTTATTGAAGACTCGACCACTCCGCTTCCGACCATCCAGTCATTGACCGGGGCAGTTCTAGAAACTATAACTTTCACTCTGTGGGATGTGACTGTTGCGATTCGGCGTTTTCGTCAATCTTATTGTCCAGGCCCTGATTGTGTCCCAGTAAGCATTTTAAAAGCCGATGCAAACACGATCTTCCCATCTCTCTTATGCAAGATATTTAATCTTGCTCTTTAAAGTGAAACCTATCCTACCTTGTGGAAGGAATCACACATTTTGCCCATTCCTAAGCACGGCAAATCTACATCATTTGATGACTTCCGGCCAATAAGCACCCTCCCCGAGGTTTCGAAGATCTTAGAGACATTGATCAAGGATAAGATGATGTGTCACTTAACAGCGAATAACTTACTGAGTGCTGCTCAGCATGGATTCCTCAAAGCTCGATCTTGTGACACCTGTCAACTCTCTTTCTTTGACTATGCTCTCCAATCTAGGGACCATGGTTTTGCTCTTTACACAGTATATTTCGATTTCACTAAGGCTTTTATCGTGTTGACCATGCTCTTCTCCTCTTGAAATTGTCCTCTCTCGGAATAGGTGGCAAACTCTTGAATTTTATATCCTCTTACTTGGGCACTCGCACACAACGAGTTAAGATTTCCAATACCATCTCCAAGCCCACACGTGTGAGGAGTGGAGTCATCCAGGGTAGTGTACTCGGCCCGCTTTTATTTTGCCTTTTCGTTAATGATGTACCCGATTTATTTCAGAATGGTAAGTCTTTCATGTATGCCCATGATCTTAAAGTTGCATATCGATATAGGCCGGCAGATCATGACATCGTGCTTGAGCTCCTAAAGAGCGATCTACAGGCTTTCGCCCAGTGGTGCCGCACATGGCGCCTTTCTCTTTCTTGGCATAAGTGCTCAGTCATGGTGGTTGGCGACGACCACCAACCTCAACTAAGTATTGACGGTCACGACATAAATGTGCCTGGGGTTATTAAGGATCTGGACATATCATACTCCAAGAGTCTCAATCTCTCGGAGCCCTGTGCCTTGATAGTCTCCAAAGCACGTAGAACGACCGGGTTAATCCTCCGAAATTTTAAAACTAGGGACATTCGAATGCGCCTTTTCAACATGTACGTTAGACCTGGTCTGGAATACTGTTCGTTTTCATTTAGTCTCATGCGTGCTGCTGAGCGGAAGAAAATAGAATCCGTTCAACACTTTTTTACCAAGAGAATTTTAACCCCGGAACACCGACATTTGTCTTACCAAGAGCGTTGCCGGCTTACAGGCCTCGATCCTTTATGGTTCCGTAGATTACAAAAGGGACTATTTTTGCTATTTAAACTCTTATATATTCACACATTTAACCCGCTCACCTCTTTAAGACATCATATCCACCCACGACGTAACAGTCACCGTGAGGTCTTCTTATTTCTTCCTCTGGCACGTACTGTTAAATATCGTCGGTTCTTTTCTGTAAATGCAATTGCTATTTGGAACAATCTACCCATGAGTGTGAAAACTCTGCAAAATTATCCTTTATTTAAGAGAACTATTACTCAATTTTTGCATTCAGAAAGGCTCCCACAAATTTTGGGTGCTGAATCTACTGATCGACTGTACCGTAGCGAGGGCGTTTGTGGTCTCTGAACACTATGGCCGGTCTCACCAGCTGTTCCTCAACGCCTCTACTTTGACTATCCCCAACTTCATGAAAGGAATTTGACGTCCGATAATCTCCGATACCGTGCAACCTCCCCCCTTCTTGACGGTCGACATTCTACCACCGCCGGCAGTTTTTTCTCCTGAGCCCTCAAAACCATAAACCCACCATCAACTATATTTTTATCTCTTTTGCTCAGGAGTTTTTTTCACTGCTGGTCGGATTTGTGTTTAATCGCTTCCCTTGACAATGCCTGTAAACTGGCATTAAATAAAAATTTATTTAATTTATTTAAATTGAATACAGCCTCGTAGAATTCATAAGCTTATGAAAAACTCGGACGTTCACGATCCGTTTACTCGTGCCAAGAGTTCGGTATCACCAGTAAGATCCGAATCTTCGATCTCATGACAGCCGACGTATCCTTCAGACCACTCTTTCCTGCTAACATAGATGACTGTCGAAAAAAATAGTGTCCAGACAGGAGATCTCTCGGCCTTCGGAAATCATGCAAAATCTCCGGACCAAACCGGGTTCTAAACCGCGCAGGTGATATTTCGACTATCGTTGCCGAAGATGTCCACCGTGTTCTCCACTGAAAGGTGAAATAGGGATGGTGACTTGCACATGAACTAGTTAATGGTGATAGTAGATTTGCGCAGCATCTACCGCACTCTCACCTGCAAGCTAAGATTTTCCCGACCATGTTGAGCAAGGAGATGGCTCGGTGGTTATCGCAGATTAGGGGGTTTCCTTTCTGCTTGTAGAGGTGGACGATTGTGGCGTCCCTGAAATCCTGCGGGACTTCTCTTTGGCGCTTGGAAGGACTTCGTTAGATGATCCACGAGTCGGGGGCCATCGTGCATGTAGATCTCAGCGAGGATCGCGTACGCTACGGCCGCCTCATCGCTGGAGAGCTGTTGCATGGACTTGATGGTTTCGTGTATAAAGAGCGCGAAGTCGACGTTGATCTCAATTTGTGGTAGACGGGGGATGACGGCGTCGGAGACAGCGGAAGGACGGTTGAGGACGCCTCCGAGGTGTTCGGTCCACCGCTGCAGACTTTGCGTCTTCTCGGTAAGTAGGATGGTTTCGTCGGCGCTGAGAAGAAGAGCGGTGTCTTTTGCTGTGGGACCGTAGACATCCACGATCGTGGCGACGAAGTTCCTCCATTTTTTACGGTCCACGTGTCTGTCAGTGTATTTGAGGAAGAATAGGCTTACGCCTTTGGACACCTTACATGTACATGAAAATCCTTAAAGTTTCAACAATATGAAAAGATAAAAGCAAGAAGTGAATGCAACCATCGATTTACATGGGGCATTTGTTATTTTCTGGTTAAAAAGTCACATACTCCGCTTGCTGGGGCATTAGATGTCTGTCCAGACGATATTTAAATGTCTTCACAGACGGAGACATTACAGTTTCCTCGGACATATTATTTCACGGTTCCACGACACGGTTGGATAAAAAATAATCTTTCACATCCAGTCTTCCTTTAAGAACACGTAGTTTGAGGGGAAATACTGGAGATTATTTGTCTAGGCAAGTTGAAAAAGGTCGTCACACGGGGGCACAGTTCAAATTACGCACGATACGGAAAGCTTTTATCATATCGTCACAAAACTGCCTATAATTAAGTGAATAGAGTTTAAGATTATTCAGTCGGGTATCATAAGGCATTGCACTCGGAGCTCTTATTGGCTTTGTGGATCGCATCTGCGCCCTTTGGAGTAGATTGCAATCCGGCTGCGTCCAGGGTTTCCAAGCCTGCATCGCATATTCCAGCTGCGGCCGTGCTAACATGCTGAAGACATTAGAGGAGCCTATTTAATCGAAAACTGCTTTAGCTGCCCTACAGCATTGCCTAGAAGGCTGTAGGGTGTCTGCAATCCAAACCCCAAGATCCTTCTGAGTTTCTGCTTCACAGTGTGGCATCCCGTTTAAATAAAATCGCCGCGTATTATGGATCCGATTTCGACTTGCTAGGCTCAGTATGATGCATCTGTTCTAATTGTTGGACAGGAGCCATCTGCGAGACCTCATCCGGCATATTAATTCTGCCTTGATGATGCCCGTTTCGAACCCTTTACTCATTAGCACATACAGTTTAGTCCTGCCTGACCCGCCTACTTACCCCTTCATGAAATCCGTTATACAATGCCATATACAGGCCGGTCCTGCCTGCTTTTTATATATTAAGGAGCGAGAGTTTTTTCTCCCGTAGGTCTAATCCAATCATACTCATTTTGTTTATTTTATGAGTTTGTTTTTCACTGTTCGCTCAACATTTTTCGTAAGATACTACTCATTAAATAACTATGAATTAATTATTGTATAAATACTGTATACCTCGTCTGAAATTCTAAAATTAATGTAAAAGTTATTCTTACATACTATGATAGGATCCCATAGTGCCGCATATGGAGCTTTTCTCTTTCTTCGCATAAGTGCTCAGTCATGGTTGTTGGCGACGACCACCAACCTCAACTAAGTATTGACGGTCACGCAATAAATGTGCCAGGGGTTATTAAAGATCTGGACATATCATACTCCAAGAGTCTCAATCTCTCGGAGCCCTGTGCCTTGATCGTCTCCAAAGCACGCAGAACGACCGGGTTAATCCTCCGAAATTTTAAAACTAGGGACATTCGAATGCGCCTTTTCAACATGTACGTTAGACCTGGTCTGGAATACTGTTCGTTTTCATTTAGTCTCATGCGTGCTGCTGAGCGGAAGAAAATAGAATCCGTTCAACACTTTTTTACCAAGAGAATTTTAACCCCGGAACACCGACATTTGTCTTACCAAGAGCGTTGCCGGCTTACAGGCCTCGATCCTTTATGGTTCCGTAGATTACAAAAGGGACTATTTTTGCTATTTAAACTCTTATATAATCACACATTTAAGCCATTCATTTCTTTAAGACATCATGTCCACCCACGACGTAACAGTCACCGTGAGGTCTTCTTATTTCTGCCTCTGGCACGTACTGTTAAATATCGTCGGTTCTTTTCTGTAAATGCAATTGCTATTTGGAATAAACTACCCATGAGTGTGAAAACTCTGCAAAATTATCCTTTGTTTACAAGAGCCATTACTCGATTTTTGCATTCAGAAAAACTCCCACAAATTTTGGGTGCTGAATCCACTGATCGACTTTACCGTAACGATGGCGTTTGTGGCCTCTGATTTCTGTAACTGGGCTCACAATGGACAATTTCTTTAGCCAGCAGTGACAGCGTTCTTCGGCGCTTCAGCTAGGACCAGCCCGAACTTCATTAAAAGAAATGGCGACTGATAATATCCGATGCGGTGCTATCCCTCCTTTTCTTGACTGTCGGCATTTCATGGGCAGCAGTTTTTTCTCCTGAACCATGCAAACTATAAAAAACCAACATCAACTTTTTTTACTCCTTTTTTAGAAGAGTTTGTTTTCACTGCTGGCCGGATTAGTGAATAACGCTTCTCTGACAATGCCTGTCAACTTGCATTAAATACTATTATTATTAAATAGAGGATGATTGTGTCGATAACACCTTCATCTGGAGCGGTCGTCCCAAGGCAGAGCGACGGGATGTAGGTGTCGTCTTTGCCATCCAGAAAGACACTGTGGGACGAATGTCCTGTTTGTTGCAGAGCATCAACGCTTGCCTGGTGAGCGTGCGTCTTCCTCACCTGGGAGGCAAATTCTCCACCACTGCGAGCGTCTACGAATTCCCCGATGGCCAGCCTTGACATTGTAAATCTCCTGGACCCGACGGAATTCCCGGACTGATATTTAATGAGCTATCAACGGAGCTGTCAAAGCCTCTTTCGACTCTCTTTGAGCTGCCAATGAGAACAGGACGGCTATTATCACAGTGGAAGACAGCTAACCTCGTTTCCTAATAAACGGAGGTCACAGGAAACCAGCATGATGCTTTAGGACTATACGCTTAACTTTCCTCCATGCAAAACGTTGGAAGCTCTAGTAAAGAGCGCTATGCAGCAGTTTTGTGAAGAAAATAACATCTTGCAGGATTTTCAACACGGCTTCCGGAGAGGACTTTCCTGCCTCTCAAATCTGCTAGCTTGTCTGGAGATCTAGACCAGGGCTCTAGAAGAGGGTTTTGAGGTCGATGTCGTGTACATCGATTTCCGCAAATCCTTCGATACTGTTCCGCACCAACGTCTTCTTCACAAATTCAGCGCCATCGGCATCCGAGGATATCTGCTGAACTGGATTAGGGCGTTTCTGGTTGGTCGGAAACAACGTGTCTGTGTCGGGGATGATATGTCAGACTGGGTGAACGTGACCAGTGGTGTGCCTCAAAGCTCAGTTCTGGGACCATTGCTCTTCATCCTTTATGTTAACAACAGCCTTCAGGAACTTGACTGCGGCAAAATAATGTTTTCAAACGACGTTAAGCTCTGGCAAGTCATTAAGGGACCAAATGATCACAGATCCCTTCAAGATAATCTGCACCGACTGCAAGCGTTGTCGAAGAAATGGCTTCTAGATTTCAATGTAGAAAAGTGCGCCGTTCATCATCTGCGTCCAACCAACTCTCATTCAAATGAGAGCCTAAGGATATATCACCTGAAAGATATAAGGCCCCCCGCAGAATCTTCACAGAAGGATCTCGGGGTTTGGATACAGAACAACCTGAAACCAACACTTCAGTGCCACAAGACTGCAAAAAACGCCATGGGAGTGCTGCATGCAATCAAAAGAGCGTTCGTAACCTCCGACCAAGACCTTTTTGGGAGAGTTTACGGCACTTTTGTTCGACCCCACTTAGGATGTGGCCTGCACGCATGGCGGATATGGCTAGTAAAGGACCAAGCATGCCTCGAACGGGTACAACGGCGTGCAACAAAGCTGGTAAACGGTCTAAAAAGCCAATCCTACATAGACAGATTGAATTGCCTTAATTTATTCCCTCTGTGTTACAGGCAACAAAGAGGTGATCTTATCTTCGTCTACAAGATAATACATGGCCTTGAGCATGGACTTAAATTTGAGGACATGTTTCAGTGGCACCTTTCACCCTATCTTCGTGGTCACTCGATGAAGTTACGGACAACAATGTCCAGGCTGAATCTTCGCTCTGAATTTTTCACGCAGAGGGTAGTGGAGAAATGGAACTATCTCCCTCAGTCAGTCGTGGAGGCACGTTTCTGCAACTCTTCAAGAAACGCTTGGATGATTATTTGTGTACCGGCTTTCCCTCGACAGTCTGAATCTGAACTAATACCCCACAACCCCGCAAATATTTTCCATGAGACAATGCTACTCAAATGAATCAAGCACTGTTTTAATAGCGAATATTTTCACTGTTCGTGTACAGTTATTTCTAACGAGCTGACATGTAATCAGTAGGGTTTTCAAAGGCTTTGTCTATTATTTTTACCAAATAAGCTGAATAATAAACTGAACATATAACGATTTATCGTCCGAAAGGACTGGATAAGACAGGGATATGTCTACATATAAATAAATAAATAAATAAATTTTAATTTAATGCCAGTTTACAGGCATTGTCAAGGGAAGCGATTAAACACAAATCCGACCAGCAGTGAAAAAAAACTCCTGAGCTTAAGGCATAAAAATATAGTTGATGGTGGTTTTTGTGGTTTGGAGGGCTCAGGAGAAAAAAAACTGTCGGCGGTGGTAGAATATCGACCGTCAAGAAGGGGGGAGGTTGCACGGTATCGGAGATTATCGGACGTCAAATTCCTTTCATGAAGTTGGGGATAGTCAAAGTAGAGGCGTTGAGGAACAGCTGGTGAGACCGGCCATAGTGTTCAGAGACCACAAACGCCATCGCTACGGTACAGTCGATCAGTAGATTCAGCACTCAAAATTTGTGGGAGCTTTTCTGAATGCAAAAATCGAGTAATAGTTCTCTTAAATAAAGGACAATTTTGCAGAGTTTTCACACTCATGGGTAGTTTATTCCAAATAGCAATTGCATTTACAGAAAAGAACCGACGATATTTAACAGTACGTGCCAGAGGCAGAAATAAGAAGACCTCACGGTGACTGTTACGTCGTGGGTGGATATGATGTCTTAAAGAGGTGAGCGGGTTAAATGTGTGATTATATAAGAGTTTAAATAGCAAAAATAGTCCCTTTTGTAATCTACGGAACCATAAAGGATCGAGGCCTGTAAGCCGGCAACGTTCTTGGTAAGACAAATGTCGGTGTTCTGGGGTTAAAATTTTCTTAGTAAAAAAGTGTTGAACGGATTCTATTTTCTTCCGCTCAGTAGCACGCATGAGGCTAAATGAAAACGAACAGTATTCCAGACCAGGTCTAACGTACATGTTGAAAAGGCGCATTCGAATGTCCCTAGTTTTAAAATTTCGGAGGATAAACCCGGTCGTTCTACGTGCTTTGGAGACTATCAAGGCACAGTGCTCCGAGAGATTAGGACTCTTGGAGTATGATACGCCCAAATCCCTTGTAACCCCTGGCACATTTATTGCGTGACCTTCAATACTTAGTTGAGGTTGGTGGTCGTCGCCAACCACCATGACTGAGCACTTATGCCAAGAAAGAGAAAGGCGCCATGTGCGGCACCACTGGGCGAAAGCCTGTAGATCGCTCTTTAGGAGCTCAAGCACGATGTCATGATCTGCCGGCCTATATCGATATGCAACTTTAAGATCATGGGCATACATGAAAGACTTACCATTCTGAAATTAATCGGGTACATCATTAACGAAAAGGCAAAATAAAAGCGGGCCGAGTACACTACCCTGAATGACTCTACTCCTCACACGTGTGGGGTTGGAGATGGTATTGGAAATCTTAACTCGTATATAATATCATATATACGGAGACAATATGCCAGCTAGTGCAATACAATTTTTGATACTTTTGGAGGAAAGTGACCGCTGAACGTTTCCTGTTCTTCATCCATATTCGTATCTTTCAGCTGTCAGGCCGACTAACGTTAAATAAACAGCCCGGTCATAGAAAGTGACGATGAGATCGAATTTAGATAGCTGATGCGCTGATAAGGAGCAAGACCAAGCGTGGTACTCACAGCCGGCTCTACATATGGCTGAAATCAATTTTTCTCAACCTCCATGATGGGCAGACTATTGTTGGCCCTAAAACCATTTAACCTAAACGTTAATTGCTAAACCGGAAATCTTGTTTGCTCCACTATTACTGTCATTATTTTCCTGTTTAAGACACGTTTTTTTTCTTATAACAAACTTCTGGCTTGTGCTCAATTGCATCAGCAAAATCCCAGAACGAATAAAGTCAGTGTGCAGTCGGAAACAATGAGTTCGTCTGAAGATTTATCCTGTGTTTTAAGGAGACTGGCAGCGACCAAGAGGTGACGTAATAATAATAAACCTATTCCATTCTACTGCCGAAGGACACATGGAGCAACGTTCGACGACGTTTTGCAGTCCACACCACTTCATCGTTGCATTCAAACTGCTCAAGTGCATCTTCGGTGTTCAATCCCGCAAAGTTTTAGGGCACTTCGTTCAGCAATTCGGTATCCATTACTTCTCGTCAAAAATCGCAACCATTCCTTTTCCCCTTTCCCACTTTCCAAGCAGCAGATGAGGAGTTTCCTCGACGTAGGGAGCTCCTGCCGCCTGTTTCTTCCGAGCTGCGTAGACATCATACGGTTGCTTAGTAAATTTTTATGCCCGAGCTCTCTTTGGATGCTGTCACTACTCTACAGTGTGAAGATTGGCTTGATGGACGCCATCTTCCTGACCCCACCTGCATTTCCACAATCACGAGCGAGAACATCCACCGTATGTACCACGTATTTTGGGTAGCACCGATGACTTGCATGCAGACTGGTTTGGGGAGACAGATATAGGCGATATTTGCCACAATCTCTCCTCGTTTGCGCGAGCATCTCGGTAATATTAATACCTCTTGAGAGAAAGACGCACAAGGATAGATTTTCGCAGAATAGCCTTCATAAAATAATCGATATTAATCTAAAAACTTTGTAGTTGCGGCTAACTGTATGCTTTATACGTAAACTACCGATCTTGTTTGGCCGACAGTTGTCGTTGGCTTATTAAGCCAGAGGGAGATCTGCCGAAACCATACATATTTATCCGGGAAGTTCCATAACAAGAATAAACACATAAAAACAAGGAAATTATGGTTTATGCGCTGCCGTAGTTATCTATGAAAATAACGGAGCTCCTTAAACTATCACAAATGGTTCTTCTTTGAAAGTACATGCATGGCGAGATCTGCTTCGACGCGGTTCGTGTTTGAATCGGCTCGATCATGCGCGCTTTTTTCGAAAACTCGTGGCTTGGTGTGTGATTTTCCCTCGCGTAGACCCTTCGTAGTATCTTCCGATCCTAGCTTCTTAATGGGAATCCTACCGCTCAGCCAAGAGACCTTTTGCTTAGGGCGGATCTTCCTGTATTTTGCTGTTCATTAACTCGCCACTGTTATTATAAACTATAGTTTACCTTCCAGTTACCTCTCCTCCAACATTCCTACGTGTGAACACAACTTTTACATTGCTCTCCTTCCAGCGAGTCAGCTTCTAAGTGGAGTTAGTGTTAGCATACATAGTTAGCATACATACAACCCGGCAGATCGTGGAGGTGTTTATAGCCACACTGACTTTTCACTGATTTCTATGTCATCCCAGGACATCCTTTGGCGTTTCTACCAGATCACGACAAGGTGTGTGCCTGAACTAAACCACGGGGTGTGCATGTATAAAAGTGACCAGTAGGAAACGTAGTCCCGGTGCCTGAGAGCGAGACTAGGATCCGAATTTTAAAGTATCTTCTGCGGACGTCCGTATCACAATATGCGGAGTCTGGTACGATTCGAGGGAGGACCAGCACATGCTCGATACTGGAAGACCTGCAGAGTACCAACAGCTATTTTCTCGAACCTTATCGTCAGCCATCATCGTTTAGTCCTGCCGCTAAAGCCTGCCAGACATGAGAACAAATAACGAAGTTAGTGCTCTGAAAGTCATCCTAATTACAGTTAAATGCACGGGGAAAACAACTTCACTGACAGCCGTGCTTTTTGTTGGCCAAGGCGAACTACGCCCTGCCTGATTGCTTTTTGCCGTTATTCTGTTTCTGGTTCCTCCATTTAACTGTTTTCTGATCTGTGCTCAATACTTAGATGTTTAGCTCGGACCCAGTGTCCGTGTATATAAGTCCGGAAGGGTCACAAACTAGTGACCGGGCCTAAACCCAGTCATGTTATAATGACGGCAGTGTATGGACGTGTAGATGGGCTAGTTTCTAGGCATATACCGTCTTAGGCTCATTCCGCCTTAATTCATGCAAGCACAACTCTAACGTGTTTACGACCTATCTTCTAAAGCAGTTGCACATTGTGAATCTGTAGGTTTGCGTTTCAAGTCGCAGGTGACAGTTAGGGCCGTGTCAAAGTTGTTTAAACATTAATTGTTGCGCGTTGCCCATCCTCCTTATCCTTTGCTAAGTATGAAATAGAGTGGCTTTTTCCGCCCTGGCCGCTGATGATGATCCTTACAATATCCATAGTAAAACACGTGCCGTTGTTAGTATCCTGTTCTTAACTTGCCCTCACTCCCAGTCTGCCCTTGAGTTTTAGTGTTCTACTCCAGAACTGTCATCTCCAGTTTGCTAGCCCCTTGACAATATCCACCTTTAGCAATTATTATGACCGTTTACATTCTCACTTTCTCTTTATACACGGTGACCAAATTTGGGCGCAGCCCTCGTTAGCAGACGCTGCCAGCTGTATACACAGAAGAGACCGGTTCACAGGCGACGATCCGATCAGTTGATTTCCCGGCAAGTTCTAATTGGTAGCTGCTCAAAGTAGCCCCGTATAGGCGTAACCGTAATACGGATGGATCAGCCCTTTCATCGATTAGTTTTTATTTAGGTTGGCGACAAATTTGCTCAGGTTGGAACGCAGATTGGTCCCTCCCCGGGGGGAGGGAAGGACGAATTCACCGTACTGCTGACGTCTTAGGAAGCTTGCTTGACTGTCAGCTTTCAAATCAGCCAACGCATAAAAGTCGAATGGGAATTTAAGTGTTTTGCCGAGCGGACACCACCAACTGCCGTCATACCGAACGGCATGCATGACAGACTGACACACTGATAACTGCACAGACATTCCGACCCCGTTCTAACGCTCGCCCTGTACTTAATGCATTTCACATTTCCCTCGGTCTCTGTTTTCAAGTGTTCCGCGGGATATGACTGAGTTTTGTGTTGTTTTCATCTTTAAGTGAAGTCCAAACCGCCACTAATTGGCGACTATCGGGATCCAATCAGAAATCATCGAGGGAAGATTCCCAATGACGATCTCCTATCGTAGTCTTTCTGTGCTCAGAATATGCCCAGTGAAAGGAAAATGTGACTGCCGACACCTTTTAACAAACAAAGATGAGTGTTATCATCAGTTCTCACTTCTATCCCAAGGTCATACATTTGACTCATTAGCGCAGTTGTTTCCTCCAACAGCGCTCACTTACCTGGATCCGCCTACTCATCTTCGTACTTTCGGGCGCGCCACGCACTCTGGTCACACGGATGCAGTTGCTATCGCACAACGCGCTCTATGTTCCATCCTGCTCTGGACTTCTGGCGACAGTTGAACTCCTCACTAATCGATTCGTCAGATTCAGCTTTCTCTGGGGTAGTTTTTCGGCCACCATTACCGCTCTTGCCAACCCCCCGGCAGATGCTTGCCAGGACAAGCGAGCACAGTTTTACCCCACGTGTATTTCAGCATCAGTTCTTCCCTCCGTTTCGAGCAGCTGCTGTAGCCAACAAAGGCTTAGTCTGTGCATGCACCGACCAGACTGTTTAATCTTCCGCCCCATTGTCAATTGCATCACGTCGTTCGGTGTCCTGGCGGAGGAACCGTAGGCCCGCATTATATCTCAGTCTTATACTCGTAGCTTACATCCTCGCTAAGGCACGGCATGGGTCATGCAGTAACCGCTTCGGGCCGACGTCGCATTGGCAATACCTGTCAGACGCAGGTGTTCCTCAACCGGTCTGTTTATTCTCTATTATTGAGAGTGCCATGCACCCTTTCACTTTTGCTGGTCGGCACACACCGCTGAGGGCAACCACCGGGCCCCTTTTGCTTGGACAGCGTTTTATCATTTCCGCACTGTTATTTGGCATTCTTCCGCCCCCTTCCCCCCCTCCTCCCCATCAGCCCTCTCCCCAAGGGAACCTATCCTTTTTGGTTGTCTAAACCTGATTCGAAAACGGATATTAATGGATCCTGTCTTTCAGCTTGCAGAATGACGTCGGAAATCAGCGTGGAACAACTGGAGATATCTAAAAATCTTTTACAAATGAACTTTATGCGACGCACCCTTCTGGCTAAGGAGCGTGCTGCGGGTGTTAGCGCACAGGAACCACTACTTCCGTCCGTGGAATCCGAATTCTTCATGCCTAAAAGCGCTATGACGAGGCTTTCAGAAAGATTGGAGGCTCTATCTAAAAAGTAAGGCCACCGCTCTTACTTTTTCACTGTCTACTTTTTTTCTTCTTTCCATTATGCTTTCCATGCATATTATGTCCTGATTCAAAGTGATCAACCAGTCAGGCATTAAAAATAGGCACCTTGGCAAGATAATAACACTATTCACTGGTAGTCGTGCGCTCTATGCGCATGCAGCATCTGGTGAGTGTTGCGCGGAGTTACTGGAATCACTTCCCAAAGACAATAGTTTTATCTTGCTACATGCAAATTAGGTTGTGGAATCGCTGACTAGCACTCGCTTACTGCACTCCGAATTGCTAATCTACATAGGGCATCTCCCCCTCATCAGGTGGAGCCTCGATTATCTAGAACCTAGAAACTACAAAATTACCAGGAGATGCCCTATTTCAAGCGATGCCCCACTGCTTACATCTGTCATATTCGGATTTTGACGTGCCTACACTTAGTTCTTGAAATCGGATTAAAATCGAAGCACAGGTGACTTTGAACTCCGTGGGCAACAACCTGCTGCCCTGATGACCTATGCACAATCTGTCTTCTAGTCAAGGATCAGCGTTGAGAGAATTTTAGTGAAACAAGTGTTTCGTAAGACCAACACAGAATTCAAACACATGGGCTTAGGAAATCCTTAACGGTTTCGGTAATTAAACCTCCAGAATGTGTACTTAGGAAGACTTCACCTGACCACCACCGATCCTAATTATAAAAATATGCTGGCTACTCATGCCTCAATTAAGGGTGACAACTTCAATTCAGCCCACTACTACTCCGAACCCCTCTCAGTTGGATCACGCAGCGGCAGGATATCGGCGCAGTGCGCAGTGACGATCCGTGTGAATTAGTCTATTGAGCAACAAATTTCCGAGGCATCTACCTCGTTCTCCGCTCTCACACCCACGAGACACGAGGCGCAGTGGCCACTGCTGCAAAGATTGGATCTCTCTGGCGAACTGATCCGACTGACTGATAACACAGGGATTGCCAACCTTGAAGGCCATCTTCACGGTCGCTCTACACGGCACGGCTATAGCAAGCTCTGGCCGAGGTCTTGAAGTGCGTTACGGCCGTCTGCTGCTGCTACCATCAGAGAGACAGCCGCAATGTCGGATACTTGTGGAAAAATTTGCCTCGATTTTTGTGCAGTAGGAAGGCGCCTCGGCGTCTGAATACGGCTGCAACTGTGACCCACCATCTTCGATTGGTGTGATTGCAAAGCAGAAGGCCAACGAAGTGCCTGGCCAGATGTCTGGCCTTCCGATTCAAATTTTTTTTTCAAGTCGAAGACCGTTGCCACGGAGTGGATCGATGCCGTCAATGCACCGATTACGAAGAAGGGCGACAGAAGACTGTGTGTTAACTACTATAGCAAGAATATTCACAGTCGCCCCCTTTCTCAAACCCTTCTGCACGCACCGCGTTGCTCGGATAAGGAAGAATCAGTAGGATCTTTAGTCACGATGGAGATGTGCTGACCAACCTTTCTCGCTCTGCTGACTTCTGGGACCTCGCTACTACCAACAGCTAGTTATCGTCCGTTTGAGAGTTATTGTCTCTGTTGATTTTTAATTTCCCCAGGAATTAATCGCTAACATGGAGCAAATCAGTCGAAGGGGAGGGGGACCACTCGCAGTTGTGTCATTCTGCGGCAGAATATCGGCAAAACACGCGTGTTTGGACTTTTAGTAGTACCTTTGCTGCCAGTAAGGCGAGTTTGGAAACAGGTGAAAATGTATCATTTAAGGCAGACGTTTGTTCTGTGCCTCCAAGCGCTCGCCTCTTAAATGTAAGTTATTATCCTTGTCAGTCAGGATCACTTCAGGTGTGAGTCCTTCAACATGACAGCATGCAACCGAAATGACTCTACTTTACTCTTACTTGCTGATCAAGTTGAATCCACCCGGGATGGGTCTGCCATGAAGAGTGATCGTTCGTAGTATGTCAAAATTAAAACGTGGAGTCAGCCGAATCAGTTATTATGGATGCCTTTTGAAAATGCAGCGTAAAATTGCGAACCGGTTCCAGAAACTCAAAATAACACCCGTTGAGTCTGCGGTATTTTGCCAGATTCAGAGCCATCGTATCCGCCTATTCGGCTAGATGCGGAGACAGTCTCTAAAATATCGCTTATCATTCCATAATACCGCAAAGTTTGCCAACGTTTGTATTCGAAAAGTGTTGTCTGTCATTGCTTCCAATATCAGCTCCAAGCAGTTCGACTCACTCGTCGTTGACATGGGAGTAGGCAGCGATAGTGAGGTCACTTCTTCTGGAATATAGCACTCAACTTTCTTACAAACAGCCAAACGCCCTCTCGGTCTCTCGCTGGTCAGTAATGATCTCAGCTTAGAGGGTTTCCAGCCGACGGGATGGCCCAGCCTTGCTTGGGACTGAGAGTCAGGCCTTGGTGGCTATCTTCTAACACAGCTATTATGGTATCCTCCGGTTAGATGCAATCTGGACTTGGCGGGGACAAATTGTGTGGAATCGTGTGTGAGTTGCGTGTGGTACGCGCAGACACGAATCCGGCCCCGTCTGTTACCGCGCCCACACCCATCTCCTGTCGCTTTCGCTCCACCTCGAAATTGGACTGAGGTGGCCGTGACAAGATAGAGTGAGACTGATACCGCGCAAGTCGCCCTTGCATCTCTAGGACTGCGGTGCTTCTCATTGCCCGTAACGGACAAACTACCTCATGCTTGTTTTTTTATTTGCGAGAAGGCGTGAACGTCTAATTGCGACCCAGAAATACTTAGGCCATGCTAGTCTCTCAGACAACAGTTGTCATCGAGGGGCCTGCGTAAATGTGCGTGACATTCTCCCAGCGCATTGATCTCTTGTCGTTAGCTATGGTTGCTGCTTTTATGATGCGCCGGATACCTGCGTCAGATTCACATGATTCGATTTCTTTCAACGGAACAGCGAAATAACTGTTTCTGAGTTATCTGTCGTCGTCCAACTGTCGAACAGAATCAAGAGGCTGAGTGGTCCCCAAATGGTCGCGTCGTGGTGAAATGCCTTCTAACGTCCCAAACTCCGGAGTTCTGTCTCTTGAACGCTAGTATGTTCTCCATGTCAGCTCGGTCCTTGAGCGACTAAATCACGCTGTAATCTCAGGTCTTCTCGACATGATCTTCCCGATCCCGCACGAGCTCTGCCACACCGGCTGACATCTCACCTGGCACACACGATCGCAGCTGGTGTAGCCAAGTGAATGCGGGCGATCGCGATTCCATCGACGGATTGATGTCCCAGCGCTGGAAAACGCTCCTCTTTCCATCGTGACAAAATACGCTCTCACGACGCACCGGCGGTACACGAGTTGGCCGACTGACGTGTCGGGTTCTGACTCGATGATGGTTTCTCCTGTTGTTGGTCCTCCGACTTCCGCTGTCCCACATAACGTCTAACTTCAGTCGCCACACAGGCCGTGCGTTGGACTGACAGAGTGCTTCTAGGGTGCGTTCACCGAATGCACTCAGTCTTCGCCCGTCTCCAGCTATCATTACCCACAGTTTAAATTAATACAAAGGCATTATTCGCATAGTTGCCTTGTCAACTCGAACGCTGGTGTGGTTGTTGGTTTAAATTCCTTCCCGCACACTTTCTTCGTAGCTGGCGACAGCCGGATCAGTTGTGTAAATCCAGATCTGATCACCATCCTCGAGTTTTCCACTCAGAAGGTGAATAACCTAAACGGGACCGAGCTCATCGAATCTGTGATCTCCGTAGGGTTGATCGTTAGCCAAACAGACTTGCAAAACTCTTTTTACATTGATGATGATCCTCTGTAATTCACTGCACTTCGGGATTTTCCACAGGCAACCGAGATAATCGAGTCTGGAGCCGAAGTTCAATTCGCCGCTTTCAGGACCTCGAAGTGCTATATCGGACATTAAGTCAACGATTTGCTTGAAAAGAATCGGCCAACGGATTCTCTCACATCGTGTAGAACAGCACTTAAATGTAGGATACCAATTCTCGCACACTGTGCCGGCACGAACGAGTGGAGTTGAAGAGTAGAGTTTGTCGTGGACAACCAACGCACGCATTCCTAGCTACTCCTGTCACCATCGACAGACGCTCTCACATCCGAATGTGCACTGGTCAAAGTACTTTAGTTCATCGTCAGCCTCACAATCGACACATTCACTTCGTTCTGTGTCTGGGGGGAGCTGTAGTGGACAGCCATAATGGTAACGTCGCGCCTCTCGCTGGCGCCTGCACCTACGCCCTAGCGACAGCCTGCTATTACACGCACGTCTGCCCGACTTCGATTTGTCTCGTTGCAAATCACTGTCTGCACCACGCGCCTGGTCGATTCTCTGCCTGCACCACGCGAGGCTTGTCACTACCCTCGGCTGGGCTCGGAGCCAATCAACGCACCTACCATCGCTGATCGGTAAGACAGGCGGGCACAGCCAGACCACTAGCGCAATCAATCTGTCACGACACTTTTAGCGGCGACCTTCGGCGACACAGGGCTCGTCGCTCTCGTGGACGCCGCCTCCGCGGCGCCGGACGCATCCTCGTCCGATTGCCAACTTTCTCCTTCGCTATTATGTACAGAATAAAGTGTCCTAACCAAATGGCGTCCTGCTTCTAACAACTTGGGATATGGCCAGAAGTTGTGGCGTACTGAGCGTACACCACCACCGCTTAGCCGCTATAAGTTAAAATGTATTAAGAACAGCTTCAAAAAAAAGTCATGGCTATAAAAATTTGACAGAAGTCACGTTCACCGATCAGGACATGCTCCCCCGTTGTGCTTTGAGACCCAATCTAGAGCCCTCATGGGCAAAGACAGAGGAGACTCGGATAGTCCGTTTCTGGCCGTCGTCAGGATTGGATAACAAGGGAGGATTCGAGACCGGATTCGTTGATCATAGTGTTAGGTAGTCCAACGCTCTACCATTGAGCCGCGGACTCATTGTCTTGTCCGTTGCGATTCATAAGACGGGAACTTTCACTGCAACTCATTACTCGATCCGAGCTCGGCAGCAGTTGCCCCTCCGCTGGATTTTCTCTACCGATTAAAAAATATAGTAATAATAGTACAACTAATAATATTTAATGTGGTTTATGCAGCCCAGTTGTCCGTCACACTGCTGACTGTGGACGCCCCGCGAGTGCCTACCTTCGAGCCAGCTACAATGGCTTCAATCCGCACCTCTCAGCCCTGATCGAGACCGACCTCCCCTCGCCCAGCCGTCCTCCTCCGAAACAGGAAACGATGGATGACCGCACAATGTCCGGCAAACAGAAGCAACGCAAGTTGATTGCCTCCTACAAACGGCACTCCCAAGGTACGTCTGTGCCTTTCAGTACTTCCGTCGGTCCCTGGTGGTAGATGCAGCGCAAGTCTACTATCACTTTAAATTAATTCACGCGCAAGTCACCGTCCCTGCTCAGCCCTGCTGTGGAGCATACGGTGGACATCGTCGAACTCGACGGCCGAAATGAATCAGTCTAGCTGTGAAAACCCGGTTGAGCCATAGCTCTCCGGCCGCCTGTTACAGGATTGTTCCGAACGGCAGATGAAGCTGTGTTTGCTTGGGGGCAGCACTATGTCATACTAGCCCTATGGCTTGTGGTCTTTTCACTGATGACCGCCTTACCAGATCGCTTCTCTGTTCGCGTTCGTTTTTCCGTCAGATCCTAGACCCCCTGTTATTTCGTGACTGACCCACACCGAAGGCCGATCTACTGTCTGTCAGTGTGGGCTGATCCCTATGTCAGGCGCCGTTTTACGCGCTCCTCTCAATCCCTGTTCACGGCCCCGTAGTGGTTTGTTGAGTAGTGCTGCCTTCTCTTCACAGTAGCAGTCTTTTGGAATGCATGGAAATCGCTTCGCCATGCTCCCAACACACGCACTAGCTGCAGTCCTATTTCGTCGATTTTCTACCGTCACTGTCTGATGCTGGTGAGGTTCGGCCCAGTAGTTGATCCTTCCAGTTCCCCCCCTCCCCCCCCCCCCTTTAGAACTCTTCACACTTTTGCGAAGAAGGAGACACGATCGCTGAAACAAGAGCTTTATTATCCTGACGTTCCGGATTCTCAATCGAATCCATTATCAATGACAGTCAGATAGGGGTAGTGGACTGCCCAGGTGTTGCAGTATTTATAAGATTTAGTTGCTAGGCAGCTACATGCTTATCACAGTTGGCAGCTCCCGAGTGCATCAAGGCTCGACTGGCCATGTGTTAAAGTATGCAGATGCCGCGCCGTTACTATGCGCTTGTGTGCCGGTCAAGATTATCGAGTCCCACGCTCATCGCACGCAGTCGAGTTGCTGACGGCCGGATTTCGTCATTTGGCAGTTTGACTCGCCGTTATTGACACCAGGAACAGTGATCATTCGCATACTATCCTTGCGGCTACCTATTTTGCGTAGACAAAGTCTCAGCGCGGAATATGGTGAGGGAAGGTCGTTGCGCTTGTTGATTGATTAAGGACCGGAAAACCATGACTCGAGCAGTTGGCGGCTCACGCGGTTGCCATCTCTAGCAAGAATTTTTGCCTCGTCTAACCCGAATGTGTTGTTGGGTCCCGTCGAGTGAGCCGCGACTTGGGAACTGGCGTTTTTCCTCCTCACTGCTGCTGCGTGCTCGGCCATCCGCATGCGCAGTAATCTTTTGGTTTCTCCGACTTTATGGTGTATCAGACTGATAGCATTGCGGTATGTGCGGACGGCGCGGCCCTCGATCGGGGCCCCGTAGTTCTGGTGAACGTTGGATGTCCTCAAGTTTTGCCCTACTTTCGTGGGTTCGAATCCAATCGAGACTGTAGAATTTTTCATAACTAGCACAAAATATGGCTTACCTCTTCAAATTTTCTATTCGAAGCAAACGGTATTTTCCACCTTTATTCGCAAATAATTTTGAACTCTACCTACTCATGTTTATGGTTTCGAAACCACAGCCTGTGAATCTCCGTTTATGCAAGATATTACACGCACCTATGCTGCTCGGAAGATGCCGTTTAGCACTCGTAAAATGTGGCAGCTTTATTAAACGAGCAGATACGGTGCCACATGAGCAAATATTTCATGGTCTTGAAAAAAAACCTTCCAATTGAAGACTTCAAATCGAAGGATACTTTTTCTTTGAGTAGAAAATTTGTAGAAGACTTCATTCAGCACATACTTTTGTTTGGATTCATGAAGGCGCTGAAAGTCGTTGCGAACACTCATGCTTCTTACGTAGCTATTTTAGCGAGCGTGACTTTTGCGGTTAACCAGAAAGACGCATATTCTAAGTCCAATATGCTGACGCGAATGAAATATCCTGTAATTGCGCTGCATGGTAACCAGCATTACAATTCCACCTAAGTAATCCTTTGTCATTGAAATAGCATTTTCGAATCTTAGTTAATGATTTATGGATTACATCAACTGCGGTATTTACTAATTAAAGCAGTCAAATACAAGCGGACTGATTCATTTACCTCAACTTGGGCCGTAACGATTTACAGCAGCACTTCTTTCCTCTCCTCATTTCTCTTTTTTTCTCATTTTCCCCCCTAGGCGATGCCCTTCATTCCCCGAAGCCAACAAAGCGAAAAAGATCTCTCTGAGGCTCCTTCTTAGTTCTCCGAAAATGTCTGCGCTTGCAGCTTGTACATACTTGCCCCTTTCAAGTTGCAATTAAAGCTCATGTGCTTGAAGTCGTCTGTCTAGTTGTGCTGTTTCGACCGTCGCAACTGACACCTCCTCGAATTCAGGCGATGCCATCCGCCGCGTATCGTCATTCAGCCGTATCTGCTTGGCACGAATAAAGACGAATGTTCGAGTCCCAGGTGTGCTTATGGGTAGGAAAAGAGAAGACTGGTCGAACACCGGAACACCTTGCTTATTATTCTAAGCTTTGAACTCATGCAGGAGTCTGTTGTCAGAGATAGCATCAGCAACGGAACAAGTGTCAGTTATGGGGCGTGTGAACCTATCATCGACCGACGGCGCAAGACTGGAAGTGACTGCGCAGGGCTCTACGCCGGCGTCAGATCGATCGACTGAGTTCTTAGCCTATCAGCGGTAGGATTTGCAGGTCTGGAGGTGACCACCTACGGCTCTCTTTGCGTACTCCGAACGACCCAAATGTGTGTTCAGTCTAACCTGTGTAATTACAAGGACAGTTTAGTCATAGAATGTGGCACGGCACTCCGGGCTGCTCCTTGGGATTTAGTCGGTCTTTGGTCTCCATGACCCTACCGCGCTTGGTTGCTTTAGGCCTGTGCGCTATTCCAACACGCGTACAGCGATGCGCTCGGTTGTTTCTGGGACGGGCGGCGGTGCCGCATGGAGCCCACTTTATCATTGTCGTAAAACCTGCCTACTGGCTTTATTTTAGTAGATGTTTTGGTAACTTTAGTGCAGTCAGGGTTGAGATTGGTTAATTTTGAATACGAGATTTTGAGCATAAGGGGTTCCGATTTTAAAGCCAGAGTAAGGCTTCTGAGCTTAGGATTTTAAGATCAGAGTCAGGGCTCCAAGGACAGGGCTTAAGGTTTTCGAGGTTGGTGTTGGGGTTTTAGAATTGGAGTTGTTCCAAGGTTAGGGTCTTAAGATTGGCCAAGGAAAACGCACAATGAGTCCTGTGCCGACTACGAAGTCACTGCTGACGGTGACGCCGTGTGGCGGAATCGACCGTGGTCGGCCCGCTAAAACAAGCATGACGGATTCAGGACTGACAGCTGATTTGTATTTACTGCTTTTGTGAATGGTCTTCTCTACATTTCCTCGATTTTCAGTGTTCCAACACGTCCCCTTTTGGCGTGTTCTGCTTCTGTTTTTGTTATTGATATGCATACTTTTCTCGTTCCTTGGTCCTTTATTTGTGTTCATATTGGTTTCTGTTTGCCAGCTGCCAGCGGTTAGGCTAATCAGCTACTTCCATTTTTTCATATCTTAATTACTGGCTCGAGTTTTTCCCGCCTATTGTTGCACTTAATCAAGAGAACGAAGCATTTTGCGAAGCAGACTGTACATCGCCTCCTCTAGATCCGCACAGAAAACCCCCTAGCAGTACCAGTCTCGTATTGCAGGCATCCTTGCTTCTTGCCTTATGACCAGGGTTGCACGTGGTACCGTCGCCTTAAAAGGTTCTTCGTGTACGGCATAGTGTGCCTTACCATCGGCGTATAAACACTTTTGGGTAGCCATTCTGTATAGCGTTCGCGGAGTCTTCTGTCTACTCGTGCGATTTCGTCCGTCACAGTTAACCTCTACACAAGTTCGAAGGGGTTGCTTCATTCAGCGGTGTCTTTATGTCGATAGACGTGAAAAGGCCAATTTAAGGAAGCAGCTGGGAGGGAGGACGGAGACGCGATCAAGAATCTTTGTCGCCTGACTCGTGGGATTCTCACTCGAACGCGCCATCAGAGACAGCTTCAAATAGGGGCGGTGGTGGCGCATGCCCGGCCGCAGCTTCAAGTTCGACGAGGCCGGGATTCCCTCGCGCAAGATGGCAACCGCATGAGCCGCTTTGCGTCATACCTGCAGCTTATTTATAGGTGCGATCGCCTTCCCTACATAATTTGCGCTGAGGCTTTACGTGGACGGTTTGGGTTCCAACTCAGTGGACGTGCCATAGAGTCCAAAATGCATAAGGAGCCTTTGTGGCCTGACTCCCTACCCTCCCTGAGAGGACACAGTTATCCGGTCAGTCGATCAGGGATGCGGCCTTCGCGATACCGCCATCTGACTGTTAGCTGCTGCGTCGAAACCCTCAGTATATCCTAAGCTGCAGCGCAGACGTGTGCAGAAAGCGATTTCCCAGGGGTAGCTAGTAAATAAGCTCAGATCAGCGAAGGACTGCAGTATAATTTTTTATTAGACAGACAGATGCTCGTGTCGCACATTGGAGGAGGTCCTAAAGAAAGCCATAAAAACTTATGAATATCACGAGTTAGGACACTTCGGGAGAACTGTGTCAACTTTTCCCTAACGACCGCCTTTAAGCGTCTCCAAGAGAAACACGTGTCGGATGGCAAGCGCGAAGAGTCTGCAGAAGGACGAGCGCAGAAATTCATGAGATACTGGTACACAAAATGTAGGTACACTTTCAACTGGAATTTTAGCATCTCTGAAAAAGACGATTCGAGCACCGGAACACTGTGTTTATTGTCCTTAGCTTTAAGACTCGTAGAGGAGTCCATCGTCAGAGGTAGCAGCAGCAGCAGCAGCAGCAGCAGCAGCAGCAGCAGCAGCAGCAGCAGCAGCAGCAGCAGCAGCAGCAGCAGCAGCAGCAGCAGCAGCAGCAGCAGCAGCAGCAGCAGCAGCAGCAGCAGCAGCAGCAGCAGCAGCAGCAGCAGCAGCAGAACAAGCGACAATTATAAGGCACGTAGGCCAATCATCCACCGACGGCGCAAGACTGGAGATGACTACGCAGGGCTCTGTACGCCGGCGCCAGATCGATAAATCGATTAACCGAGTTCTCATCCGAGGCCCAGGCTTCGGTCGATTCTCGACCTGCTAGCACGCGACCCCATTAGTGGGCGAAGCTGAAAGAGGATAGACGAGGGTGTCTCCGATTCGGTAACGACGAAGTCTTTCGGACCACAGGTGAATGGTCGGCCCGTTATCTCCCGACTTGAGTATGCTTCTTGAATCACGAATATTATTTTCGGTCGAAAAGCCCGGAAGGTACGCTTGATGGTCACATACTATGTCGCTGGAAGAACTGAACAAAAGCTTTATCGGGAGAAAGAGAAGATGTGGTCGCTGGAATAAGAAGTTTATCGACCCTACGTTCCGGTCTCTCACTCGAACCCATCACCAGAGACTGTTGCAGAACAGGGTAACAGGGGACACAAGGTGCGCAGTTGTCTGTTCGCTTATAGAAGCTTTTTGTTCAATTAGGCCACATAAGGGACAGTTTTGCATAGTTGGGACTACGCTTATCAACTCTAGGTATTCTGACAACATTGGCTATGATTGGAAGGGTCCCACATACCACAAAACATTCGATCGGGCGCATTTAACTATTCGACAATCAAGGAGGAATGCACACCAACTAACAACAGCCCTACTGGCTTCGATTTTGCATCAAGTTCTACCCTCCGACCCGCGGAATTCAAATCGAGTCCGCAGATGGGTACCTGTTGAAGCCCGTGGCGAACAGGATTATCCAATCACAGCACCCAGGTTTCCGGCTCGGGTGTATCTCGGTATCCCAAGGATTACCTGCAAGCAAACATATGCCAACCTGGATGAGATTCGATAGGCAAACTGCGATTCGCATCTCATTGCCACCAGGAACATGGCATAATCGGAGTAATTATGGAGAGGACAGAAAGATGAGTGAAAAGGCAGCTGACTGCCGCGGTTTTTTTCAGAAATCGGGGCCAGAATGAGCTGACGCAGCGAACGCCCCGTCACCGCCATCTAGTTTACATTTTCGTTTCAAAAATGGCAACTTGAAAGCCAGCGTGCCACACTGTAGAAATTAGCCTGACTTTACAGTGCAGGCCGGAACTCATTAAATATGCGTAAATTCATGAAAAACCCCTAAATACATCGAGGAACTCCCCGGATTGGTGATTAACGGCCCTCCGTTATGTGAACGCACAAAATACGCGCTGGACGTAATATTACGTCGGTTAGAAGTAACAACTACCCTATGAAAAGCAGAAACTCCAAGGGCACGAACATTCATATCAAACGAGTGAGGTAGGTCTTCACAAGTCAGTAAAGCCTGCCTATGCAAATAACTCAGTAAAGGAGACAGCACAGTAACAGTTCGGTCGTCCTGTACGACGACGCCCACTGAGTGCTCTCACGCAGTGAGTGCAGAAACGCCTGGCGCACGCGCATGATGGTTCGTGATTTCCCCGAGACAGGAGAGGCGTGGCTCGAAGTGCTATAGAAACCGCGTTAACAAGGGGCCACGACGCTTGACACACCGTCCTGAGAGGGAGGGAGTCGTGTAGCACCTCAATCGAGACTAAGCCTTCTACCTCTGGAACCCACGCCGCGCTAGGCGTCATGTGATCCCGACCACCCGAGCCCCAGGACGTGACCATATTCGGCTCCTAGGATGGCTAGTCACAGGCGCCGACAAACGCCACCATCACCCGATCAATTAATCCACCCCCCCCCAATCACGTCCAAATGCTCCCGGTATGTGGATTGTCGTCTGAGGAGACGCGACTGCTCGCCCTTCGCCTTAGCCCCCACTGCTTCCTAATTTACCGTTTCTAATTGCCCCCCCCCCTCCGTATTCCGACGCCTCCACCTGCGTGGAAAAGCGGATTGTGATCGATTTTTCTCATCCCCACACGCCCTACTTGCACTGCGCTCCCATATAAGTGTACCAGCCCGACGAGTATTTGTCGAAAGCACACATACGCTCGCCAACAGATCTTCTGAATATTTGGACTCTCTCAGACCCATCATCAAAGCTTTCAAACCAACCGACCTTTCTTTTTCCCCAAATTCTGTGACTCAGCTAGACAGCCCTTGAAAAAAACCCTCCCGAAGGGGACTTTAAAGTGAAACATTGAAACCCAAGCGTGCCTCAACTGAGGGTTTGTGCAAATGGCCATGCGGTCTGCCCAGCCTCTCGAGAAAATAAATTCTGAATAATTTTTACTGGAGATTGTTGGTCAATAAACTCAGGGCAAATTAGGAAGTAGAAAGTAAGTGCAGGCTTTTAAAAAAGATCACAGTGCGGATTATGAAACTAGAAAAAAAACACGGAAGACGTGCGACGTGCGCCAACTAGGACCTCATATCCCTGCAGCCTGTTCACCATGAAGCGCCAGGCTCTTTCCAGCAGGCGTGTAGAACTGAAAATAGAGTAAAAAGAGCCATTTTTTTCCTCTGAAACCAAGAATCAAAAGTAAGCAGAATGGCATTACCGACAAAAACAAGGGAGACTGGAATGGCTATTTCTGGCTTATGAGCCGTCGTCAGCCAGTCATATCCAACCTCGAAGTGTGGAATACCCGAGGCTCGAAATCGCGACCTGTTAGTTAGAAGTCCACGCCTCTAACCCCTGGGCCACGCGCCCGTTGCCCTTTCGGTTTTTGAAGAAAAAACAAAGTCGTGTGCCGACAGCTTTGGAGGCAGTCAAAAAATGTGGGGAAAGTACAGAAACACAAATGTCTTGCCGGTAATCGATAGCCGCTTGTTAGGTTCTTGTTCCGTATGTGGAAGACGGGAACCCAGGCTTCATCATTGACCGGCGTGGACAATCTACGTGATAGGCATTCTGCGCGCACGCGCGTAAGCACGCTTGCCTAACAACCATCCAGTCTCTGAGGCCTTGTGCCCGAACTCGTCATCGAGGCAACAGACCATGAAGCTTTACCACCCAGTTCCTCGTGAACGTCTTTTCGTTTCGGGACATGCTACCCGGGGATTGGATTTTCGTTCATATTCAGCCAGGCCTTGTTGGTGGAGGAGGGTCTCATGGGGCATAACAAAACGATCCCCTAGCACAGACCTCCCGGGACAACGTGGTATATCAGGGATAGTCTAGAAGCAACTTACAGGTACGTGGCAATGTCTAGGCTCGAGTACAGCGACCGACAAGGCTAAACGGTTCGCCTACGCGTGCCAAACACACGACCTGCGGACATATGCTGAGTTCGCACAGAATAAGGGGACGGTTCGGGTGCCACCTACAGTTTGGTGACTTTGATCCATGACAACTATCGGTCCTGTACGCTGTTCTTCTGCGCGCATAGGACTGGTTTGTGTAATGTGAAATGTCTACCCATAAAGCATCGTATCCGTTCATCTATTAATGGTGCTTGTAAGTTATGCAACATGGTCACCATTCACTGCAAAATCTTACGAGCCCCATATGACGCCATCTTAATGGCATATATAGGCATGGACAGTCTACGTAATAGGCATTCTGCGCGTGCGCGCAGGCACGTTTGCCTAACAACTATCCAGTCTCTGAGGGCTGGCGTCCGAACTTGTCATCGAGGCAACAGATCACAAACTTTACCACCCAGTTCCCCGTGGAGCTCTTTTTGCCTGGGGACATGCTACCCGGGGGTCGAATTTTCGTTAATATTCAGTCAGGGCGGGGGGCGGTGGTCTCACGGGGCATCACAAAAGGATTCTCTAGCACATACGTTCGGGCACAATGGGGTACACCAGGAATAGTCTAGAAACAACTACAGGCAATTACGTGATGACCTTATACTAACATTTCGCACTATCAACGGCCTAGACGGTTATTTACTTCCCACTGATTATTTCACTCAAGCTAACACGCCTACTTTGTGCGGTCATGCCCTAAAAGTACGCGCAGGGAAAGCAAGGATCAATGGACGAAAGTTCTTTTTCAGTAACAGAGTGGTTGCAGCGTGGAATTCCCTGCCTATCGATGTTGCAATCTCCTCCTGTGTGAATTCCTTTAAGTGTAGACTTGACACGTATCAAGTTTCTCAATTACCACCCACATAATTCGGCACCAACTTATACGTGCTCATACTACTTGTAATTAGTAAGTAAACGTTAATGATTACTCTTTTTCGACTAGCTGTCAGCTGCCCGCGATTATGCACAAAATCCCTTTTTCACCTTCCCACTTATCAATGTTTTTCTCCGACAATTTGTTACCAACAGGGAGTCCAAAGGCGCTCGTCTATATTTCCCTTAATAAACTGAAACTGAAATTAGCTCGCAGGTGGCAATGTCCAGGCTTCAATGCAGCGGCTGACAAGGCTAAACGGTTCGTCTACGCACGCCAAACACACGACCTGCAGACATGTGCTAGGTTCTGCACGAAAGGGGGGGGCGGCTCGGATCCCACCGACAGTTTGGTGACTTTGGCTCATGGCAACTGCCGGTCCTGTACGCCGTTCTTCTGCGTGCATAGGACTGCTTAGTGTAACCTGATTGCAGCCGCCTCTGCCGTTGCCAACAGACGCTGTCCAAGTGATTTTGAATAGCTTGATGGAACCTTGTGAGTCGGTCGGGGGGCCTGTCTGGCACCCGCACGCTGATGTGTGTCTGTCATGTGCCTGGATTCTGAAAAGTGTCTTCGACTAATTAAGTAGGGTTGTAAGACAAAGTGTCGCGTAGTAAAATTACAGGGTATTGCAGTCGTGTCAGGATGCTGGCTTTTAAACGAGCTTCCTTCCGGCTGCCATCAAAAACCACTCCGTAAAAGATGGCTGTTTAAGTAGTAAGACGTTTCGCCACTGACTCTCGATATGCTCACTTGGTGGCAAATTACGTCCTCTTTAAATTTTATACTTGAAGAATGGGTTTTTTGCTTTAAAAAATGTAATTTTGACTTTTTAAGACCGTGAAATGTCTACCCATAAAGCATCCTATCCGTTCATATGTTAATGGTGATTGTAAAATATGCAACATGATCACTATCCACTGCAAAATCTTACGAGCCCCATATGACGCAATCTTAATGGCATCTATAGGTGCGTGATTTTCCTTTCGGGAAAACATACAGCCTGTTG